ACAAGGAAGGACAGTGGAGGAGGTCGCAATGACCGGACCCCCAGAGGGGTCAGCGAGGGAGACAGCAACTGGCCGAGCAAGCGGCTCAAGGGCAGTGCGGTCACGAAAGAAACAGCGAGAAGCACCTGAGTCCAATGTGAAGGTGTGTAGTGCCTCAGTCGACTCAGTACCAGGGGGCGCAGACTCACTAGCACCTAGAGCAGCAGCCTCACCAGCACCTAGAGCGGTAGCTTCACTGGTCCGAATGCCCGGGTCGGGCGGAACACGCAGGTACTGAGCACTCTCTCCACTAGTAGACATCACATACATGGCAGTGAGAATAGCATCAAAGTCTAGAGCATAGATATCAATGTTCCTTTTCATCAGATCAGCCCAGCGGGGCAGCTCAGTGGCATCAGGGAACTGAGTACGCCAAGCGTCGTCGAGGCGAGAGAAGCAGCGCTGCGTGGTGTGCGCCCTCCCACACGTCTGACCAGTGCGGTCACCAGTGCGGATGACGTACGTGCAGCTAAGGCCACCCCCCCCCCCCCGTGCTGAGAGTACCACTCACGGAGCTCCTGGGGCGACAGAGTGCGCTGCTGGCTCTGGCCACTGCCAGCGCCTCCACGACCACCACCGCCGCCGCCACCTCCTCGACCACCCCCTCCCCTGCCGCCGCCACGACCACCGCCGCCCCCACCACCGCCCCCGCCCCTGCCACCTCCCCCGCCGCTGCCGCCACCACCCCCACCGCTGCCACTAGTCCCTCCAGCCCCACCACCACCCCCACCGCCTCCACCGCCCCCACCACCGCCTCCCCCGCCGTCACCTCCGCCTCCCTTGCCCCCTTTGCCCTTGCCGCTGCGGCGCCAGCTCGAAGTGGACGCAGTCCCGACCTTCTCAGCACCAAGGAGGTCGGCAGCAGAAGCAGAGGCTACAGAGGGAAGAAGGGGGGAAGGGGAACACCCCTCAAAGAAAGGGGTGCGGGGGTCGCCACGAGAGGCACCTACAGCGACTATGCTAGCCTCAGCTGCAAGGAGTTCCTTCTCGAGGAGGGCAATGGTGAGCTCAGTGGGACAGCGAGATAGGAAGTGATCCCTGACTGCACGCAGAGTGTCAGGGAGGCGGGTGACTAGGTGGTAGAGAGTGAGCCAGAGCGGGGGGGGGTTCGTGGCAAGAAACTCATCGGGCATAGCGGCACGGAAGCGGGCCTCACTAGTACGGAGGTGCGTGATGAGGTCAGCGACTGTGTGGAAAGAGGCCAGGTCGGGGAACAGGTAGGGGAGTGAGAGACGGCCTAGCGCGGCAGAGGCAGGTGAGGAGTAGCGGGCAACGACAGCGGTGTACAGTGCCTGTGCAGTCTTGTGCTGGCCAAAGTGCTCGCGCTCATCTATCGGCAGGGAGTTGCGAATAGCAAAGCGAGCGTGGGCGTCACGAGTCTGCCACTGTGAGCGGGCAGTGCTGTCAGCAGTAGCAGCAGGGGCAGTGGCATGGCCTAAGGCGTGATCGTACAATGAGATGTCTTCCTTGGCAGTGAGTTGTAGGAATAGGTGCAGGTCATCGAGCCAGGTGTCAAACTTCACTGGGCGGCCCTCAGCATCGAAAGCTAGCACAGGGGGGCTAGCCATAGCGACAGTAGGAGCAGTAGTAGTAGTAGTAGCAGAAACAGCAGTAGTGACAGTAGCAGTGACAGAATCAGGGGCGCGGCTCGGTAGGGCGGCGCGGCTCGGGCCGGGTGACGCGGTTCGGTGGGGCGGCTCGGCTCGGCTAGGCAGCGGCTACTCGAGGTGGGGCACGTGAGGGCGTGCAGGGCAGAGTGGGGCGGTCCGCACGGGGCACGAGGTGGCGAGCTAGCTAGGGCGGGGCCTGGTCGCACGAGGCCAGCAAGGGCGGGCTAGTGGGGCGGGGCCGGTACGCTAGGGGCACGCGAGGGCGTGCAAAGCGGCTGCTCTGGGTCCAGGGGCGGCTGCACCAGGGGCGGCTGCTTCAGGGGCCAGGGGCGGCTGCTCTAGGGTCCAGGGGCGGCTGCACCAGGGGCGGCTGCTTCAGGGGCTGTAGCAGCAGTAGCTTCAGTCAGGAGCAGCTACAGTAAGCGCTGGAGTAGGAGCTGCAGCAGTAGCACTAGCTGTAGCAAGTGTAGTAGTAGGAGCTGCAGCAGTAGCACTAGCTGTAGCAAGTGTAGTAGTAGGAGCTGCAGCAGTAGCACTAGCTGTAGCAAGTGTAGTAGTAGGAGCTGCAGCAGTAGCACTAGCTGTAGCAAGTGTAGTGGTAGGAGCTGCAGCAGTAGCACTAGCTGTAGCAAGTGTAGTAGTAGGAGCTGCAGCAGTAGCACTAGCTGTAGCAAGTGTAGTAGTAGGAGCTGCAGCAGTAGCACTAGCTGTAGCAAGTGTAGTAGTAGGAGCTGCAGCAGTAGCACTAGCTGTAGCAAGTGTAGTAGTAGGAGCTGCAGCAGTAGCACTAGCTGTAGCAAGTGTAGTAGTAGGAGCTGCAGCAGTAGCACTAGCTGTAGCAAGTGTAGTAGTAGGAGCTGCAGCAGTAGCACTAGCTGTAGCAAGTGTAGTAGTAGGAGCTGCAGCAGTAGCACTAGCTGTAGCAAGTGTAGTAGTAGGAGCTGCAGCAGTAGCACTAGTTGTAGCAGCACTAGCTTCAGTAGCAGCAGCAGTGAGTAACAGTAACACGGGCCGCGTGCGGGCCAGTCGCGGGCTGTAAGGGCTGCGTGCGGGCCAGGCGCGGGCTTTACGCGCTGGGTGCGAGCCTGACGTGAGCTGTACGGGCTGCGCGACGGCCTGGTGCGGGCTGTACGGGCTGCGCGACGGCCTGGTGCGGGCTGTACGGGCTTCGCGACGGGTCTACACGGGCTGTACAGGCTTCGCGACGGGCCTACGCGGGCTGTACGGGCTTCGCGACGGGCCTACGTGGGCTGTACGGGCTTCGCGACGGGCCTACGCATTCAGGGGGGGGGTCGCACGTGACTAGGAGGAAAAAAAAAAAAAAAAAAATCGCGCCTAGGGAACCGTCTCGCCTAGAGCACGGTTTCGAATGTCGCATTTCTCCTAGGGGCGCGACTCGGGCAGTAGATCGAAATAGTAGTGGTGGGCCCTTTTAAAAAAATCGGTCCTAAGGAGCATTGTGCTCTTAATACCATGTTAGAATCACTAGCTAGGGAACGAGGAAAGGTGATGATTAGGTGAAGATTGGGGTACAAGACTAGAGTGTCGAGACTATTTGTGTACCCCCTAAGGCTAGCCCCAATATAGCCTAGATACAATTATGCATATGTTTTGACACACCTGCCACCCAGCTCCGCACTCCGCTCCAGCGCACAGCGACTTTCAGTGGCGGGGGGCTACCATCGCTGAAGGAGCTGAAAGGGAACTGGCAACAGCCGAAACATCAATCAGCCAAACGGGAGCTCTGGGCGGGCAGATGGGCAGGAGCTATCGACTGGAAAAGGGTTGTGAAAATTCGGGACTCGCTGGTGACACCGAACCGACCGCGTGATGTGCTGCTGAGAATCCACAGTCTCAACCTCCAAGTGGGAGAAAGGCTTTCTTTCTTGAGTGGAAAGCCGATCTGCCCGCACTGCGGGGAGTTTGAGACCCTTGAACACTGCCTCTACACCTGTCCAAGAATCCAGACTGTGGTGGGGGCAGTTCGGAAGGCTCTGCGCATGCTGAATCCGACAAGGCAAGTTGACAGCTTGGGTGACATACTGTTTGGCAATACCGCTTCCACCTCAGCTTTTCCGGAAGCGTCTCTCTCGGCAATTGCAATACACCAGATTTGGGCAGAGCGGTGCGATTGCGTGTTTCGAGGCAAGAGATTTCGAGCCAGACGGGTACTGAGGAGGATTGAAGCAGCTTTCAAGCTACATGTGCGGGTGTATACTCGGGCAACAGGGAAAAAGCTGGGCATGAAGGGCAATTTGAAACAGAGCGGGAAAACGTACGCGCTGGCAGATCAGGAGTGTCGGCTCCTTGGACGTATCCGGACTCTGGAAGGCAAAGGCTGGAAATGGTCCCGTCACTTTGGCGCGCTATGGAATCTTGCGCGAGGGGCACTACATCCCCCTTAGAGTCATCCCTTGAGGCAGGCGCGCTGTCGGGCCTCTCACGCTCAGTTACGACTGATATATGTTTGTGTGCACTAGCATCATCGGTGTATATTTAGCATATAATAATAAAATAAAAAAAATCAGGCTCATAACAAGTTCATTACAATAGAACAACACCTATAAACTTTTAAACAAATCATGTAAATAATACAACAAAACAATAACTTTATTCAACACATTGCCATTTCAAAACAATCTTTTCAAATCAATATGACCTTATGTCTCCAACTATAGTGAATTAACTCGGGCTCAATCGTATCAAGCATGGGGCATGGAGTGACAGCATATCAGATGGTCGTGGGAGTAAGAGCGTGTTGGTGCCTAAAGGTGCAACAGCAGACAGTGAGTGGTGCAGGTTATGTAGGAGGGAGGGAGAGGTGCTGGCTGAAGTTGCGAAGGCTATGGTGCTGCTCCTTAAGTGGGATAATTGAGGTGCCGATGGGAGGGTGATGGCGGGCAGAAGACCTGAGACGGGGAGACACATGGTGAATATTCACCCACGGCTCGTGGTGCACAGCGGACCCTGATTTATTCTCCACGATTCATGGCTTCTGGGGCCCATGGATCATGGAGTCTAGATTCTGATTTATTTTTCACATTCCTCCACTTTCACGCCTGACCTGCCACCTCCCTGACAGAGCACTTCCTTGAGGAGTGCACTGAGCAGCCCGCAGGTTCCCCGTGAACAGTGCGCCCAAGTTGTAGGGCGGGAAAGAGGGCCAGAAATCAGCGCAGGAGAAACAGGTGCGGCGCTGGTGGAGGGAGGGGCGCGGGGGGAAAAAAAGAGGGCAATGGGCAGCGAACGGGAAGGTGCGTTGCCGCCTGGCAAGGAGTGCACCCAGCAGCCCGCGGATTCTCCCTTGAACAGTGCGCCCATGTTGCAGGGGAGGGAAGTCATGGGCCAGGAATGGGTGCACGAGTAGCAGGTGCGGCGCGGAAACGGTAGACATGGACTGGGTCGGAGGAGGTGGGAATGGGAGAGTAAGCGGGTGGGCATAACTGCCACACCATAGGGGTGTAGGGGTGAGAATTTGTGCAGACTTGGCATGGGAGAAACAGGTGCGGAGCTGGGAGGGGTGGGGAAGGAGTGGGCGGAGGGAGAGGCGGCGGAAGACGCCTCTCCCTCGGTGAACAGTGCAGCCACCTGTGGGGTCCGAGTCCGTGCAATGCAGTGGGGCAGACGTGGGTGCTGGAGACGCGGGTGCAGTGCAGAGCTGGGGGGGGGAGCAGAAAATCACTGGCTGCTCCAATGTGCACACCTGCGGAGGGGAGAGGGGAGAAGGGGGGCAGTGGGGAACAGAGGGACAAACGGAGAGAGCCATGAGGGTGGCGACTGATGCAGGCAACTGGCTGCACCACTCTCACCTAGTGACGGGGAAAGGGATGGTGATGGGGATGGGGATGGAGAAGGGGATGGGGATGTTGAAGCGAAAGACGATGGGGAGAGGGGAGGGGATGGGACAGGGGATGGGACAGGGGACGGGTCAGAAGATGGGAATTGGGATGGGACGGGGGATGGGAATGGGGATGGGAATGTGGATGGGAATGGGGATGGGGATGGGAATGGGGATGGGAATGGGGATGGGGATGGGAATGGGGATGGGAATGGGGAAGGGAATGGGGATGGGGATGGGAATGGGAATGGGGATGGGAATGGAAATGAGAATGGGGATGGGAATTGGGATGGGAATGGGAATGGGGATGGGAATGGGGATGGGAATGGGAATGGGGATGGGAATGGGGATGGGAATGGGAATGGGGATGGGAATGGGGATGGGAATGGGAATGGGGATGGGAATGGGGATGGGAATGGGGATGGGAATGGGAATGGGGGACACTGATACAGAGTGACAGCTGATATGCACACCTGGAGGATGAGCTGAAGAAGAGGGGGCAGTAATAGAGGTCAGGAGAGAGCGGTGTTGCATAATATTGCTCCCTGTTAGCCCCGCGTTGCCACTTTGGATAACACCGTGGCATTCGCAGTGCATGCAACTCCAACATTACATGAAAATGACAGGAGCGTGGTCAAGTGACCTAAGCTAAGAGCGACTCGAGATTGACCTGACACTGACCTGCTCGTGACCCGCAGGTTGCTCAGGGAATCAGTGCCCCCGCGCACTGGGGTCGAGCACCCGTGCTGGTGTGCCCCCGCGCACTGGGGTCGAGCACCCGTGCTGGTGTGCCCCCGCGCACTGGGGTCGAGCACCCGTGCTGGTGTGCCCCCGCGCACTGGGGTCGAGCACCCGTGCTGGTGTGCCCCCGCGCACTGGGGTCGAGCACCCGTGCTGGTGTGCCCCCGCGCACTGGGGTCGAGCACCCGTGCTGGTGTGCCCCCGCGCACTGGGGTCGAGCACCCGTGCTGGTGTGGGGGGAAGGCGAAGGAGGTGGAGAGGGAGCGGGTGTAGGAAGGGGAGGGAAAGGTGCGCAAAGGCAAGAGCCATGTGGCGGTGTCGTAGGGGCCGAGATTGTAAGACAAGTGACGGGAGTCAGTGCAGTGAGTGCAGTGGGGCAGAAATCAGCGAAGAATAACTGATGGATCGGGAGGGAATTGGGAGAGGGAGGGAGCAGGGAAGGAGGGAACGGAGCAACACGATGGCGGGATGGGTAGCATGAGGGCATGCAACAACTGATGGTAAGGACACCGCGGAGTCCATGAGGGGTCCGGCAGGGGGACGACAAGTGACTAACAGGCAGGAGTGTGACACATGGCAGGCAGGCAGGCAGGCGGGCGGCAAGTGGGCTTGTAGGAAACGCAGGTGAACAGATGTGGGGGGGGGGGGGAGGGAGGGGGGGAGGGAGGGGGGGGCGCGTGGGGGGGCAATCATTCGGCTGCGGCGCCGCTGGCGGTGGTGCATCTGCGGGTGCAAGGCACCATCCCAGCGAGGTACGGCGCGTTGATTATCCATCTTGAGACCCGCGGTGATGCCTGCGCACGCACATTGCAGGCCCCGCCATTCCAATCAACCCACGTGGGTTCAACAGGGAGGAGTCGCGAGATTGGGGTAAGGGATGGGGGGTAAGGGGTGAGGTATAATGTATGATATTAGGGAGAGGAGAGAGGTAGAAGATTGGGTTGAGGGGAGAGGTAGGAGATTGCGGTAAGGGGAGAGGTAGGAGACGGGGAAGGAGAAGGAGAAAAGGGAACGGGAGGGAAGTTCGGATTATGGGAGAGGGCTAGGAGAAGGGGAAGGGTTAGCGGAGAGGGGAGGGGGGACGGCGGTAAGAAAGGGGTAAGGGGAGGGGAAGGAGTTAGGGGGTGGGGAGGGGAAAGGTGAAGGGAGGGGTAAGGCAAGGGGCTAAGTGAAAGGGGGTGCACATGGGTAAAGAGAGGGGATAAGGGAAAGGCTTCAGGTGCTCCTCAGATGGCGCCTTGACAAGCAGTGTGGCTGCGTGAGTGGGTGCAAGAGGGCATGGAAAGAGCAAGCAGGAGAGGATCAGAGCTGAATGGGTCAGGGATGAGGGGAGGGTGCGAACAGAGGAGTTGGGCACTTGTGGGAAGCAAGCGTTGCAGGGTGTTATGGAGAATCCTAACGCCCCTCGGAGCTCCAAGGCATGCGCTTAGCCTCCGCCAGCCCCATCAGCAGCCCTTCCGTTAGCGCCCCCTTGTAGTCGTTTGAGTAAGGGTGCGTTTCTATCCCGTGTCAGACATTAGGTTTGACACGAAGTGGAGGTTCGGAAGACCCGAAGTGGCTCGTTTTGGGGGCGATTGGAAGTTCGGAAGAGACTAATTGGAGACTAAGGCCGCATGACTTGATGTCTGACACGGGATAGAAACGTACCCTAACTCTCACACATACTATCCTCCAACTCCGACTGCTCACAACCTCCCACACACCTCTCACACACATCAGATTCGACCCACCTACACCCCTTCACCCACCGTTCCTTTAGCCCCTTCGAACACTCCCCCTTCCTTCACCCCCCTTCCGTCAACCCCCTTTCCATCACTCCCATTTCCTTCAGCCCCCCTCCTTCAACCCCTTTCACCCCCCTTTCACCAGTCTCCGGAGTGAATCCTACACGCGTTTCAACCCCTCAGACCGTCTCACCTTGCTGACTCCGGGCTCGTCAATTGCCCGCCAGCTCCATGAGCAGCCCCCCCTTCACCATCGCCCTCCTTCCCGCTCTCCCCGTTGTCGCCTGTGCTGCCGCCAACGCCGCTTGAGCTGCTTGTCCGTATCCCCGCCCGCTTCGCCGCCTTCCGCAGCGCCTGCTGCCTCCGCCGCTCCTGCTCCCGATCCGTCTTCCTATCCTTCTTATTATCCATGTCAGGCCTAATTCGCGTGATTCATCAGGTTTGGGGAACCAAAGGCTTCAAAAATCAGTCGTCGATCTGCCACCAACAGGAGAAAACAACCTCCGCCTTCGCTTTGTACGATCTGCCTTCGCTCCTACGATCCGCTATCGGTCGTCGATCCGCGATTCCGGATTTCCAGTCGTTTTCCAAAATCTGAAGCCGGGCTTCGATCCTCAGATTCAACATTCGCTCGACGGAGCGTCTCGGAGAGGGCTCTTCGATTTCGTTCGCTATACCGTTCGCGACGTGCCGCAGGGGCAACGATGCTGCCAGTTCACAGCGCGCGGTAATCATCAGCCATGAACCTACTGATACGCGAACAGGAACAGTAGGAATTTCAAATAGGCCTATTTCGTGATCAGTGACGGGGATGAAAAATGTCTTTGTAGGCGGCTTGGGTAGGAGAGGAGGGCACGCTACCGCATTCGTATCGACCGTCACGAGGACAGGCGGCTTGAGCATCCAGTAAAGGATGGACCTGCAGCCCCGTGAACCTCGTGTGGCACGAAATTGATAGTTTCAAGAGGCATTGGGATCGAATGTAGCAGCCGTAAAGGTATTCTCTTCCTATTCGACCTGGCAAAAGGCTAAGCTGCCATGGCTTCGCACCTGCTCTCATTTCGTGCTGCATGCGAGGGCGGCCGTGACTTCGGATCCCTCAAGTGTTTTATGCTGGCAAGGGTGGGCACCTTTGTCGAAAAGCGCGAAAGTCCGGACGATGTGCGACGAAAATCCGGATGCATGAGAATTGTGCGAAAACAGAACAGAGTTACACGCCATAAGAAACTGTGGTCTGTGATTTGACCAGTCTGCGCGGCAGAAGCTCTGTCTCTTCCGAGAACAGGTTCGGATTTTGCGAATGATGAACACTGGTTTGGTCAAGCGAACTTGACAGGCGAAAAGCAAGTCACCAGGTAAGCGCGTTTTCGTCAATGCCAATTAGCCTCAAGCGCACTCACACGATCGCGCCTACGACAGTCACCAGGCTCGCCAAGACCCCTTCCCAGCCTTGCTGCGACTGCGCTAGGGGCAACCTAGCAGAAACGCTTGGTGGCTGAAGGTAGTCCTGAGCTTCTTTTCAGAAACCCTAAAAGCTGTGAGTAACCAGTGCTTGTAAGTTTGCAGGACGACACTAATCTCCACATAATGAAGCTAGTAAAGCGTTCAAAGTTCCGCCGAGTCTCCAGCACACACCCCGGTGCTAGTAATACGACAGCTAGCACGTTTAACAATCTGCCAGACGATCTCCTCGTCAAAATAGTATGGTATCCCGAGTCGGTTTCTAGCCAATCCGAAGTCAGCTACCCGGGGGCCTCCGTGTCACCTAGGCCGACGTCCACCTCCGAAAGGCCGTATGGTGATGAATCGCGTCTGTCTACCCCTCCTGCCTTCGCAGACGCCGCTTTTAGCCTTCTTATCGCGTCCGTTTGCCGCAGATGGCGAAATCTCGCTCGAAATCGCGTCTCCACCTTGCTCGTGAGAGATTGCCGGGTTGTTTCTCTTCGTGACCTGACCGCCGCTGTCAAGTGTTTCCCGAACCTCACCCACGTCCATCTGAGCGACAACAGCGTTGAGACCCTCGACGACGCCTTCCTCGCTCTCCTCGCTGCATCGTGCCCTAAGCTGAAGGCTCTCCATGTGGGAAAGGAGATAACACAGAGCAGTGGATCATCCCATAGGAAGGCTGAGCATCCGGTGACCGAAGCAGGCTTGGCTCGACTCTTCCGTCGCTGCACTCAACTGCAGCACCTGTCGCTCTACTGCCTGCATCAAAACGCCAAGCTACCACCAAGTTTCTCTCGGCTGAACAATCTTCACACTCTACCTCTGACCGGTAACTCGGCTCGGGAGGCTCCTAGCTTTACCAACCTGTCTTCTCTCGCCTCTCTCTCCGTAGAGAAGGGTGACGACTTTCTCGATCAGTTACAGATATCGGGTCTTACTTCTCTCTTAGGACTCACCAGTCTCTCCTGCTGCAATGAAGCATCGGTGACGCCTTTCTCGATCGCACAACTTCCGTGTCTGAAATCGCTGGAGCTGAAAGCGGGAAGTCCGCGGTTCGACCTCATGTTTCCGTTGGGTCAGCCATGCAGCAGCCTGGAAAACCTGTTTCTCGGCAAGAGCTTTGAGATCCAGAGTCTTCCTGACGACATTGGAGTGCTGCTGCCATGTCTCCGTGAGCTGACCATCAGCGATTGCGAATATCTCGCCAATCTGCCTGACGGGTTCACTTCGCTCACCTCCCTGCAGAGGTTGGCAATCTCCCGGGGAAAAATGACCAGCCTGCCTGAAAGCTTCGGAGGGCTACCAGCGCTAACATTTTTGTCGCTAGGTCTGCCGGAGCTCACGCATCTCCCAGATTCGTTCCGCCTGCTCACTGCTCTCAAGATTCTGATTCTGGTTGACTGTGAATCCCTCAGCGAACTACCTCCAAGTCTTGGCGATTTAACAGCACTCGAGTCTCTCAGCATCATCAACTCTCCACACTTAATACTTTCTGAAGGCATTGGAGATTTGACCAACCTTAAGAGTTTCCACCTGAATAGAGTTCACTCAGACCTCCCATCATCGCTCACACGGCTCTCCTCACTGACAAGCCTTCAAATCTTTCAGAACGCCATGAGCGAGCTTCCAGAGGGCATGGGGAAGCTGAGTGACCTGCGCGTGTTGTTTCTCCAATCCGATTCGGGTTTTGACAAGCTCCCAGAGTCCGTCACCGATCTTGTGAGCCTCGAGATATTGAAAGCTGGCGACGTCACTAGAATGCCCAAAACCTTGAGCAGCCTTGTAAGACTGAGAGAGTTGGAGCTGGGCAAATGCCCTCAGCTGCCAGAAGCTCTCATGACGGTGCCAACATCACTGGAGGCTCTCAACTTGGGGAGCCACCAGCTGCTGATTCCCATGCTGGAAATCCCTGCTCTGCCTAGGCTCAGGGAACTGAGCTTGACAAGTGTTGGTCTGCTGCGTGGTCTAAACACCGACATTGTCCTTCCGTCCCTGGAGCACTTGCAGCTGTTGCTGCCTAGAGATGCAGAGGATCTCCCATTGCCACTAGCAGCCGTTCCCAACATCCGCACCTTGACAATCCGAAATGCTGGGCGCATGTTCATGCTTCCGGATGAGGTTGGATCCCTGCTGCAGCTGAGGAAGCTGTGCATAGAAAAGGCTGACAACATGGAATCGGTACCAGTGATTGTTACGTGGTTACAGAGGCTGACATCCATTGAGATCCATGCTCCCGGACTTTGCTGCCTCCCAGAGGGCATCGGCGCTCTATCCAGATTGCGTGAGCTGAACCTGTCTGGCTGCTCAGTATTGGATCAACTCCCCGATACTTTCACCCAGCTTTCCTGCCTC